TTTCTCGAATGTATTCCTCCTCGTCTCCTCTGCCCTTCACTCTCCTGTTCGTGACTCAATGTCCCATTTTATGTGGGATTGATACAGAAAAAATGTCCCACATTTTGATTGGTTCTATTTTTAAAAGGTTGAACACATTTTACTAGAAATGGGTGGCCCAAAGACGACTAAGAGACAGAAAAGACCCAGAAATACACTCATCTGCCACTTTGTTGGATAAATCTTGTCAGGTTGTCCTTTCAAAGCTGCCCCAATTCTTCATGCAATTCTGGGAGATGTTGGTTCATACAGACATGATAACGTCACGCAGATGCTGCAGTTTTGTTTGGTTGCACATCCATGATGCGAATCTCCCATTCTACCACATCTCAAATGTGCTGTATTGGATTGAGAGCTGGTGACTGTGGAGGCCATCTGAGTACAGTGAACTCATTGTCCCGAGCTTTGTAATACATCATCCTGCAGGAAGTAGACGCAGACGATGGGTACGCTGTGGTCATGATGGAATGCAACAATGTTCAGGTCGGCTGTGGTGTCTCCACCATTACACCATCAGCCTGAACCGCTGATAAGAGGCAGGATTGATTTCATGCTGCTTTTGCCAAATTGTGACCCATCCATCCAAATGCAGAAATCAAGGCTCATCAGACCAGGTGATGTTGCTGTTGTCTATTTTTTGTGAGCCTGTGTGAACTGTTGCCTTAGATTCCTGTTCTCAGTTGACAGGAGTACACCTTGTGTGGTCTTCTGCTGCTGTAGCAAAACAGCTTAAGGATCAGTATGTTGCACGATCAGAAATGGTACTAACAAGTGGTTATTTAAAGTTGCTGTTGCTGTCTTATGAGCTCAAAGGAGTTTGTTAATTCCCCTCTGACATCTGGCAACAACAAGGCTTTTTCATCAAGATAAATGATGCTCACTTCAAGGAGGAGCATCACTATGGCATAAATGCAAGACTGTTAAATAGTTAAAGCATCTAATATGTCAGTTTTTGTTTCTGGGTACAAACGTTTACGTTTTCCCTGTATTCAAAGAATTTTTATTTTTTTGTTAGACTCGTTTTCTTTTTTAATAAGGATTACCAAAGGTTTATTAAACCTAGCAACAATCATGATGTGTAAACATCTGGTCAGCGGTGTAAGGCGATGCATGGAGGAGATGTATGTGCAGAACCAAATCAAGAAAACAGTGGTGCTGCGGCAGTAGACGGCACAGACACCGTCACAGGAGCGGAGACGAGGTGTGATTTGAGCCCTGAGCACTTGCCAGGTGTTCCTCATTTCCTGTAGTCTCCACCATCACACAAGAAACTCCTGCAAAAAGCCCTGGAACCGTAACACTCAGCACGTCTCACGTTGTCCCACCAAAACGTCCTCTTTGTCCCTCGTTTGTGTCGTGTGAATCTGGCTGCTCAGCCTCTAACCTGCGACTCCATCTCAGTACACCACCATGATGGTCGTGTTCTGTTTTGGTTCCTCTCCCCTCTGAGTGCATCTAAGGAATGAAGACATCCTTCAGGATGAGATTATAGAGAAATGATGGCACATTGGTGCTTTCCTTGCTGCATTAGCGCCACCTGTTGATCAGTCGAGCAGTGTGAACCAAGAGAGAACCGTTAGAAAACATTCCCGAGGAGAAAAATATCTCTCCTCAGCGTTCAAAAAACTCCTCGAGGTACCTTTAACCTATTTATTTTCTGGCAGCTCTTCACGGAGCGCACTTCGCAGCGGGATCTCGGTCATTATTTTATATTACTTACAACAGCAGAAACCGCAGCGACTTGCCTCACAATGATTACTTTCATATTCGTGTGTAACACGGCTCCTGTGGGAGCCATCGCCGCGGCCTGCATATTGCAACCCACACGCGTGCGCCGTCTCACCACGCCTCACTGTAATGTGCACCCAGCAGCTCTCTGTACGCTCTAACCATCTAACCACTTCATGTTCCAACTGTTGTTTTTTTTTTATTGTTTTAATTACTGCAGTTCTTTACTCTGTCTTGACTCGTAGCTGCTCGGCTCGCTCGCCTGCACCGTTGTGCAAGCGGAGGCCGAGAGGTCACTGAGCGGGTGTGAGCACGGAAAACGCAAGTGGGTGAGAATAGAACGGCGTAATCCATGGATCTGTCAATGTTTACTCAGCAGGACACGTTTAAGTCTCAATGCACCGCTCCTTAACGTTACACTGCACCGCCACGCCGCTGTTGTTCAGGCTAACGAAGTATGTTTCCCTCAGCCTTCATCTCTAATTAAATAGGCTAAGCCGTTCTTTTTCGAGTGGGTGGCGCAGTAAATGTTTGATATGTGACTCAGTCTGATTTTTAGAAGACGCAAACTCGCCAGTACTTTGCTTGTTGGTTTAGTGTGTCGGTATTTGCTCTTAGACTTGGAAAGAAGCCCTCGGTATTAGGATTGAAAAGCTTGTTGATGTTCTTTTGAGAGCAGCTGGATAATGTTTGATCACTTGCTGATTTAGTAGAGACATGTACTGTAAATACTGACCCCCCCCCCCTACCATCGAGAATCCAGACATTACCCTGTCACCCATTTGTTTAACAATATTTCCTAACTGCACATAATTCCTGTTTACAACTGGCACGCTGAGTGCTCTGAAATTTTAGTATGGGCGATTATGTGAAGACTTTCCTTTCACAACCAATCATTCGAGCGCTCCATCAGCAAAAGGTTCACGTGTGCGTGTGTTTTAACTGTTTGATGCCCTGCAGGTGTTTTTCACGAGGAATGGGAAGCTCATGGGCCGGAGGGAGATGGTCGTCCCTCCTGGGGGCCTGTACCCCACCGTGGGGATGCTGAGCAGCGGCGAGAAGGTGAAGGTGGACCTGCATCCCCTCAGCGGATGAGCCCGGGACTCGTGACGCCCTGCAAACAGCCGACTGCGCTGCAGAGCTCACAAACGGTAGCCTAGCATGCTACTAACACTCGCCAGAACGCACTCACTTCAGCTGCACTCATGCACATCGCTGTCGTCTTCCTTCCCCGACTTTTATTTATAAGACTTGTACATTTCACAGCTGTCGCGGCGGACGGCCAGCCTCGCGGCTGTAAAGAAGCAGTGACAGGTCCTACGTGGGCTGTGTAGGTTACAGAGTACTTGCTGCAGGAATACACGGCAGCACCTCAAAGCGAGAAACTCCAGAGAGACATTTAACTGTTAATTCTATGCAATCTGCACTGCTGTCGTCCTCTCCTCTAACCTCCTCCTGCATGCAGTGTGCGTCTGTAATACTGAGCTGTTAAATCCCTCTCATGAGGTCTGGCACACTTAGTTTATTTCATTTGTCACAACCCCAAGCAAAGCAGAGCAAGGCCAACAGTTGTGCCGAGTCAGAGCTCGTTCGCAGTTTATGTGTCAGGGAATAGACACCCCCCCCCTCCTCTTCACCTCCTCTCTCCTTGCCACTCTCCTTTTCTTTGTGTCTCTCACTCTCTTTCCCAACCTCTCCTCATCCTCTCTCTGGGTGAGGGTGCCCTCCTCTGAGCGATCGGAGACCTGCTGTTGCCCCACCTCGCTCGCTGCTCTCCCAGAGCTGGCTGCAAGTCAGCAGCGGATCTGTCTCAGACGTGCATTAACATTCATTTTTTTTGCTTTTTGTTTTTTTGAATTTGGATTATTGCAAGTACGGTAAACACAACCAAACATAAGACGCTGCCACTGAGCAGCACAGACGTTTCCTCAGAGCGGATGAAAAGCTTTGTGAGTGTTTTGTAGTGAGATTACAAATGAAAATATATATATAAAAAAAACATGTCAGGTATATTTTCTATGAGGAATCTGTGAAATATACTTTTCAGTTTATCTTCTATGTCAGAAGTTCAGGGAATGCGATTTGTTGCACTTATGTGAAAGGGAAGCTGTTAAGGGAACACATGCACACAGCGGGTGGACAAAAGAACAGAAATAAACAGTGAAATGCTGCCTGATGCGACACAACACACTACAGCCATGACAATAACCGCAAACCTAACAATAACCACAAATAAAACGCCTCTGAAAGGAAAAGCCAACTCTGCAAACCTCACACACAAGCATCAGGCGCAGGGCTGTTGGATTCGATTGCATCACACTGTACTGTAATGTAATATTTTTGTACTCCTTCTGCATGTTTGCCCACTACATGAAGAATTATCTTCATTTTCTTTCCCTCAAAGTTTTGAGTGATATCTTTCGAAACAATCTGCTAGTTTCTCTCCCTTTGTGATGTAATATTAACTATATTGATGTTTATTTGCCGTTTGTGCGACATGTCAGAAGAAAAATGTTTTGTCTTTGTGTTTGTGGCCACCAGCACTTTAACAATGTGTTTGTGTGACTGTGCAGAGAGTAGAAGCAGCACCGGGACTCTGTGTCACAAAGTTCGATTCGATTCGATCACTTTTTCTAATTTTGCGCATCCAAATTGTTTTTCTTTCCCTTCTAGTCACCATCTAGCAATGTAATTTAATTAAATTGCTATTAAATGTAATTTAATTTCTATCCTGCTAGTAAAAAAACCTCGAAGCAGCAGCTTGCATCAGTTTCTCAGTTGCTCAGAGGGAGAAAAGGTCGCACTTTAGCAATATTTTTCAAGTGATAGAAGGCAGATGTGGTGGCAGACCCGACAAAGCACTAAAGTTAAAATCTGAGTGAAAGATCACTCCTGACATTTCTTTCTTGACAGCTTGGTGCAAATCCAGGAGAATTCACTTTTGCAATCAGTTTTTGCCTCGAAGCTTTAAAAGTGTTTGTTTTTTCTTAGTTTATCCGCACATTGAATCCCTCAGACATCATAAGAAAAGAAGATGTCAACAGTATGTCTCAGTTTATCTACTTGATAACGAAATCCTACAGTAGGAATTGAAAGAAATCAGTCGGCACAACCCTTTGAGGTTAAATTGTAAGAAAGAAATGTGTAAAATTACAGAAAAGAATGTCCTGTAATTATAAAAAAAAACAAAAGAAGTTTTATGTAATTTAATTGTTTATCTATCAGTTAATTACTTTGATGTAGTATGAATGGCTGTGAAGGAGGTCTTTATCAGTCGTAAAAGTCTGAAAAGAAAAAAGGATATATAGTCCAAAACTTTTATCCTCCTCTTCTTCCAAAGAAGTACAGACGGCCAGATTGGAGTTTTTGCCAGGCCGAATCTGGCCCCCGGACCTTATGTTTGACTGGATTAGTAAGCGCTGGCTATCCAAAGAGAACGAGACGCAGGTTAAGTTGCACTTTGGGACACAGACTCCGGAGCTGAAGCAATCTGTCGAGTTTGTCGGAGCTGGTTTCCACACATTTCTAATTTATGGTTAAAGGGAGAAAAGTCATGATTGTTATTCTGTATCAGCCAAATCAAACTGAATTCCTCTGCATCTTCCTATTACAACATCTGCATCCCTGTAAAATAAACATTCCTCTGCGCCTTCATAAAAGGTGCAAGCAGCAGGTTTCTTTAGCATGTACACAAAATCATCCACAGGTCACTGCAGACGGTGATGCTAGAAATCTAACGTGATGTAAAACTAATACACAGGGTTACCTATTAAATCACATCTGCTGGAGAGTG